AAAAATATTATACAGAAAGTGTGTGTGTATGTGATAAAAACAATATAATGATTATTTGATAGAAGAATTAATGGAAATTTCATATTCAATTATTTGATAACTTTTGTTCATTGCAATAAATTAAAAAACAATTTTTGTCTGCAGATCATTGTTGCTTTTTTGTTACTTGGATCAACTTCAATGTTCGACTTCTTTCAATTTCTACCTACAATGAATAAATCCGTTTCAACTTCGATTCCACAACGCGAACGAGTGTTTTAAAACCATCAGAGAACTTGAAAGTAGTGAGTATAAAAAATGTAAAGTCCCTATGGTACCCATCGTGTCGAGAATGAAAGATCCTGATCGACGTTGGTACTGGCTGTAATTTTTTAAATTGATTATTGATGTGCCCGACCATGAGTAAATCCTCTTGCGAGTTTTACTCGCGAGAGTGTTGCATTTTTTACTTATCTTTTTATAATTTATATGTTTTTCCTACTTGCTCATTTTTTGTCCTAGCTTGGCATAGGGAATTTTTTTGTTTCGATCAATAATATTAATTAATTAACAGTACGTAATTACGTGAAATATTATCTCTCGCGATATTACCGAGTAAACCGAACCTTAATCGTGTAATTTAGTTGAATGCAATATTTTACATGTTTTGCATCCTAGTAGACGAATTGAAATGCTACTTATTTTAATGTATCGTCAAATTATGGAAAATAAACAAGAAAATATTGATAGATTTTATACTCAAATAAAAAATTATAACCATTCTAAATAATTCAATTAATGGTAGTAAACAATGGGTTAAAGATTTTTTCAATATTAAATATTGTTTTTCAAATACATTCAAAAGTCAAAAGAAAATAATTTATTGAAATATTTAATATTTAAAAAATGAGAAAAGAAAAAAAAGGATTATTAGTATCTAAGTATAGATTATAAATTAAGCCTTTTCGGAGGCGAATTTTCAACTAGTAATTTACTAATTCTCGTTTCTCCTCAAACGCTTTCTGAATTTTCATTTATGCATTTATTCAAGTGCTACTCGAACTGGTAGAATCAGTTATAGTATGAATTTAGTTTTAAGTTTCCCTTATTTGCCAACTATTATTGTGTTACTAATTATACCCGATATAATTCTCATTTGGTGTATACGCGCGTGTAGTAGGTAGTGGATTGCACATCTGTTCACAGAATTTCAAATTAGAGTAAAGTATGTGATTGTTCGTGCATAGATCAAATATACTGGATTTATCTTTGAAATATTTGTATTTTTGTTTGTTCACATTTGTTTTATTCTAAAATATTCTTCTATTATATTTTGTAGAATTTTGTTTCTTATTTTGTTTTGCGATTTGTTAAAATGTGGGACGTAAAGGACGTTTGTTCAAGACACCTTGTAGATTCGTTTGGAATATTAGTCTAATCGTATTGTACAATTATTAAGAAAATACGTATATTACTTAAGTATGATTATATACCATTACGTGTTAGTATTTATTTTCAAAGTAGGTAATTACAAAATAGTCATTAACCTTAACAGTCGATTATAGCAAATTGGTATGTAACCCTTATTAGCGTTTAAGTTTAATAAGGCGCGTATCAAGCTAGGGTGACGTATGTGCCTCAGGGTAACCGTCCCTTCCGTAGTAGTCTTTTACACCCTACCAATATATGTGAGAATTGTGAAATGTGTCTGTATAAATGTTTTGCATATATGTTCAATATATTAAGATAGATAAGCAGGTAACATATTTCCTTTGTGAATTTAAATTCGAAGTTTTCATTTTTATTTAAATGTTTAAAATCTTATTTCTGGTCTTTCATACAAAGTCACTGCTAAATTTAATAATTATATTCAAGTTTTATTAACTTCAATAATAATAATAATAATAATAATAATAATAATAATAATAATAATAATAATAATAACAATAATAATGATGAGGATGATGATGATGAAGTGATAAGATTTAGTATTTATTAAAGAATAAAAATAATTAATTTTAATGTTATTTGGCAGAGAGCTGGAGGAAACTTCATTACACGCGATCTTAATTAAGAGTTTGCCGTGAGTATCATTTTATAAGGAATGGTAATAATTATATCTCGTGAGCCTTCGTAGGCAGCAATCTCTATCACGTGGTGAAATCTGGGAGCTTGTATTACTTGCGATTTAAATAAAAATCACATAATCCAAGTACTACCGAGTCAATGCTTGCAGATTTTTTCAATACATTTCGAAAATAATCTCTTATCCAAATCTTTTTTTGTCGATTAAATATAACAATAAAAATAATATATCTTCGAGAAACGGTTTAAGAAATAAAAATTTGAAAATTCTGTTATACAAGTTGATATAGGAAATGATGAAAAATAATTTGAGAATAATAATTACGATAGTTTTGAAGAGAAAAGAACGAGAATATCGGTAAAAATAATAAAAATAAAAATAGTCAAGTTTGAGTGAATTGACTGTTGGTATCCAATTGTAGAATCGTGCTTTAAATTCGGCGACAATGCCTCGAAATGCCGTTCCATTAATTTTCCAGAGGACTCCTGGTAATTCGGTAAAGGGACAATTCATCCGCGTTTCCCACTATTCGTAGACGTACACGGTAAAAGCATTCCAAACTTGCCGTATCTCCCCGTCAACTTTTTATTTTCATGCCGATCCTCGGATTTACGCGATCCATTCGTACTACGAGTTCTAATTCTGAACTATACTACCTACCAGTTTTCTCTTCTCTTTCCACCTCTATCTATCTACCTATCTATCTATCTTTCTCTTTTTTAGCGTGACATTTTTCGGACCAATACTAAAACGTAACTCAGAGTTTAGTGTAGAATTCGAAGCTAGCAATCTTCGATAACAAACTTTCTCTGGCGCTGATCCACGTTCATTCAAGTACACATACATTTACCAAACGATAAAGTATAAACGTTATAAAGGATGTAACTAAAATTTAGAAATTTTAATATTTAAGACATATTGGTCGCATTAACAATGAAGTCATTTTCGACCACTTTCGTCATACAGGTTTTGTCAATATAATTATCCGATTTTGAAAAGATACGTGGATATCCGTTGTACTGTACGTAAATTCCTCCACATGGAGTCCTCTGGTGATTGTGAGCAGCTGATGATAAGGAAGATAAAGGATTAAATTAAAATAAGAAATAAAATACGTGGTTGAGCCAATAGAAAGTATAACACTTTATTGGCTTGTCAGGGAAAAGCTTTGAGACATGAAAACCCTGTTTGTTAATTCGGATACAAATGAATGATGTTCAAGCAAAGATTAGACACCTGGCTAACCTCTCGCTCGTCTATAAACGTGTAAAGAATGCTTACGCTTCTTTTACTTTACTTCTCGGCTTTTTTTGTGGTAATATGAAGGATAATGGTCACGCATTTGAAAGTATCATAACTTAGAAAATTCAATATTTTGTATTTCATTTTGATAAAACCTATAATATTTTGAATCTTTATTTATAAAGAATAAATAGCTCAAGTTTTCGGAGCATATTTTGGTTACACCCTGTGGATATATAGATAGACAGGAATGTTTTCCATTCGGTGGACAACGTTACCTATCCACTATGGTCTCTACCTCGAGGCACGATTATCGATTATGAAATTGCAGCGGATAAAGCGAACGAGAGTCCGTCGGTTTTATTCGAGATCAGTTTATGTGTTAGTGTGTGTTTTGCGTGTATGTCGTGTAGTATTCGCGTAGATATGCGTCAGTTGGTTTTCCGATTATCCGATGGCTTATTCTCCTCGTTTCCTTTTCTTTATATTCTACGTTGAAACTATCTCTGTCAATTCACCCTCTACTTTCATGTTCGTCATATCTTTCTCTGTCTCTTTCTTTTCATCAATGTTTTCCGGTTATCTTCCATCTTTCTTTTTTTTTTCTTCTTTTTTTTCTTCCTTTATCTTTAGCAATCTCCATTCATCGTTATTTTTCATCCGACGAACATTTATATTCACGGAAATGCGATTTTCATCTTTCCATCTCACTTTTCTCGTGTCACCTGCTTCCATTTCCGATAATTACGAACAAAATTTGAACATATTGGCAACCATTATTATTTCACTTCCTCGTTGAAAGATTCCGTTGAAAAGAAGGTTTGGTTCGTAGTTTTCTCATCTTTTTCAAATCTTCTTACTACTTTTTAAAAAATAGATCAACTTTCTTCCTCTCTACTGAGGAGCGAATCTGAACATGGAGAAAGAAGGAGAGAGAGAGAGAGAGAGGGGGAGAGAGAGAGAGAGAGGGGGAGAGAGAGAGAGAGAGAGAGAGAGTCAAAGTTCCACACTTCGCGCCTGTTTTGAATTTTCCAAGAAAATTTTCCAGAAAGATTTAGATACTCTTAAACTACTTTTCCAAAAGATTTTCCACAAAAAACAACGTTTATTATTCTATTTGAAATTTATGGTTTATATATACAGAAACTTTTTCGTTTATTTCTCAAATATTTGTTTATAATATTAAACAGATATATTATACATTAACTGATTAAATTAACATTAAAACATTAATTTAGTAACGATTCAATAAATTCGTTGAAATATTTTCGCTAATTGTAACTTACTTAATATGTCTCCGTCAAACACGGGGAATTTCTAGTAATTTTAAATATATATATTTTTTAGATAATAATAAAAAGTTAGAATATTTTTATTAAAAAAAAAAAACTATGTTTTTCTTTAATCGTTTGTTGCCAACAAACATAAGAACAGAAAGAAAAAGCAATAAAGAAAACCTTATATTTTCTGTGCAGAAAAATATGAAAAATCCTATCAAGCAGGTTGTTAGGGAAATAAAAAAGGAGGAAATAAGAAAATGTTGTATAGGAAAGTAGAAAAATTCAGGGAAGGGAAAGAGGGAAGACGGAAAGAAAGTTGGTAAAGGTTTTTATCGCAGGATTTTTCAAAGCTGACCTTCGATAGAAGTTTAGCGATAGAAGTTGAACGTTTACGAGGTTAGTCGCGTACTCACTTTATTCGGTTATAAACGAGTAACTCGGCTATCTCTCGTCCCAGCCTGGAATATAAAGTTTCGACGAAGACCAACACCTTTGGATCTATTCTCAATCGAGCTTCGCTCCGGTGATCCGGTGCCGAAGGCAGTCTCGTCGCACCCCTTAATGTGGAACATCTTATCGAGGGCTCGGGTCTGGTATCTCGATGTATCAAACTGAAAATACACAAATCAACAAATCAAATTATATTCTCTTGTTAAATATTTAAACAAAACCAAAATTTAATACAATGTTCTAAATATCTGAATGATTGTTAAGAACAAAATATCTTGAACATTATTTCAAGAAAAAATCCCTAGATGGTCCTTTAACTTGGTTCCTTCGACTTGGCGTACGTAAAGTGTTTCTTTTCCCATCTTCAATATCGTAACGTATACGAGTTGTGCAACGATGCGATATAGCTCGCTATGGCTATGGGAAAATGAAAAAGAGAAAGATAGAGATAAGGATACAGAAAAAGAGAGAGAGAGAGAGAGAGAGAGAGAGAGAGAGAAAGAAAGGAATAGAAAAGAAAAAGAACTTCTTAGTGTGCTCGACATTGTCGTTTCAGTATCGAAAGCATCCCTGGGTGGTCTTTTAACGTCGATGTCAAGACTATCCTTTTGAAAAACCATTAACTTTGATTATTTCTTCGCATTAACGTCGCAGACATCGGATAAGAAAAAGAATATAATAATTTTAAAAAATATAAACACACTTGTAGATGATTTTTAATATGAATAAACTCATTTTAATCATAATTTTAAAGATTTATTTTGTTTATAATACATTTTTCCAATTTTTAGACTAAAAGTCTTCTTAAAATTACGTAGGAAGCTTGTGAACCACTTATTATTAGAAAATTGGATATGATTATGTGTCTCATTGGACTCAGAAAACAAAATAATACTATTATTATAATTAAACGCGAAATGAAATAAATTCGGTTTCACTTTGTATTTTCAAATACGTGATATTAATAGAAAAGAAAAATATTCATCTTGCGTATATATGATTCGTTAGAATGATTAAAAGTAGTTATTTCGAAAAGAAATGAAATATGTGACTAAGCGTGCATTCGAAGTTATTTTTATTCATGACGACTAGTATCGAGTCAGCGAGAACGGTCATTCGAGTAGATTTAGTTCGGCAAAAAGCGTCGACAATATCGCGACTCACCGTCACGCGACGTACAACACAGGATTACAAATCGATAACCAAGGATTCTCTGGTCATGATATCTCCCAACTACGATTTTACCAGTTGAAAAGTTAAAAAACTTTCTCTATAACATACATATACGACATTTTTTTTTATAAATATATGTTTAGTAATTTCATTATAAAAATCAACTATTTTTTAGTTTAAATACCCACCAAGGGGGTGGTGTTTAGACGATGGATGACGCGATAGTATCGTTATTAATAAATAGATGTGGTAAATTTATGCGAATTCATAGATTATAATTTTGTTGGATATGCTAATAGGTGACTCATAAAGTGCGGAATAATCGACACTACATTTACGTACTTTATTGGCAGCGATAAAGACGCATACGGAAATGTTGTTCGCGAATTTATCTTCTGTACTATTCGATTAATCTCTTTTTAATAATCGCGTCTAATATACATTTATCTACGTATTATAACGAAAGAAGAATAAAAGGATCACACACACACACACACACAAACCATGCGCGCTTGTATACGTACAACACAATACGTACACAGTCAAAGATTTCTGATAAATCGTGAATTATTTCGATCAATGTTACGTTTAAACTCGCGTGCATTTGATTAGTTTTAAAAAAAATCATAGAATAAAAGATCCAACTATTGAAAAAAATGGAAAATATTTTTCGTAGGAATACAGGGAAAGATATTCCCGTGGTAGTCTTTTATGTTGATCTCGATTAAAATTTCATTATCGATTAGTCGCGTCGGGTCAAACGGCGTTCATAAATTTCTATGCGAAGGTACTAGAAAGAGAGGGAGAGAGAAAGAGAGAAAGTAGCAGGAGCGCTGGTTATTAATTCTATATTGATGACGGCTAGAATATATCATTTAAATTAGACTTTCAAATGAGTTCGCTCTTGCCGGCGAAGCTCCAACTTTTTATAAGGTACTCTCACCCTACCTCACTTCTCTCTCTCTCTCTCTCTCTCTCTCTCTCTCTCTCTCTCTCTTATGTCCTCAAAATTCACGATTCATTAGAAAAGATATTATGAAGTAATTGGAGCGCTCGTACTAGGAAAGATTTGGCTTTAAATAAAAGATATCTTCGGATGAGATTCATTCCTTGTTCCATATTGAAGTTATTACCAAAGTATTTATGTAGTTCGCTGAAATGAGAATCGGGAAATTAAAAGGCGCACTTGAAGGAAACACCAAGGAGCAAGTATATACGATAAGGTTCATAAACGGGAAGCCGTGTCCTCTCAAAGGGACCAATTCTCGTATCCGAGAGCCACGTGGCGTGTCCGTGTATAAGGTTTCAAGTTGTAGGTACGTCAAGTAATCTGGCTCGAGGGAGATACACGCCCACCACCTCCATCTTGCTCTCTCTCTCTCTCTCCTCTTTGTCACTATAACTGTGTATATATCTATCTCAGTCTATCACATTCTAGAACTCACCCTTGTATCTAACTCCAGGCCATGCCTGAAAGCTCGAAGTAAGCCTATTAACGCGCGCCCTTATTAGAGGATGTCACCTGACCCAAATTCCAGTGCCCCTTTTAGCCAACGGGCCTCGCGTACCGAAACGTATCCTTAATACGAATTTACAATGACTGAGTGTCTCTCTTCTCTTCTCTTCTCTTCTCTTCTCTTCTGTATCTATCATCTATGCATCTATGCACCTACATAACTCACTTTGAATCTAACATACTCGGTATATCGTCTTGAAAGTACTCTAAATACGGTCATTAGCTCTACCTCTTTGATGAAACTTCATCTTTGGAGTACTACGAAACAAGCGGTTTCAACGTCTTTGTTCTCTTCAGGATTATTTTCTAGATTACATTTTTTTTTATGTGGTCGTTCTCTTTATTCTTTTAGGAATATTTTCTTTGGAGATTTGTTTCAATATTTTGAAAACGTGTGGAAGTTGCACGCATTTTTTTCGGAGTTTTTATTAACAATTTTTTGCAACGAAATTTTTATTTTTATTTTTGTCATTTTCAAAGATAAATATTCATTCCCTTTAAATCGAATAAATTAAGAAGACCCTTTAAAAAGATATGTAAATTATATATCAAGGATAATATTCATTTTATATATTTTTAATAGATATTTGTAAAAATATATATATTTACACACATTATTTATAACAACATTATATTACATTAATATAATAAAACAAATTATTTTTATTTTAACTTGATACTATATATAATAATAACACTATTGGTTATAAAAAAGCGTGAGTTCGGTGTACTTCTTGGTCCTTGAAAAATCCAGCTCAGATTTTACGATTGCTTCTTCCATGACCACTCCCCCTTTTCTCTCCTAACTCACAAAAGAAATAACTTGAAGAGTTATATATTTTATTAAATGATGTCGTCGGTAGGAAACGACAAGAGTGTCTTAAAGTCGCGAGTTAGATGGCCGTATCTCGAGTTCCACGATGAAACTTCGCAAGCCTGGATATTCTCTGAACGCAGCTCAAAATGAGACATGGTGAATTGTTCACCTTCTCTCCCTCCTCCCCAACTTTCTCTCTCTCTCTCTCTCTCTTTCTCTCTCTCTCTCTCTCTCTCTCTCTCTCTNTCTCTCTCTCTCTCTCTCTCTCTCTCTCTCTCTCTCTCTCTCTCTCTCTGTCGCGAGAGTTAGACAGGAAAATGCTTGTAACGAGACTTTTAGTACCGTCTGACGCTAATAAACGCTCCTTCGAAAGGATCCTCGTCGACCTCTAAGGAAAGTAATTTTAGATTACGACGCCATTGTCGCCTATCGACGCCCGATTGAATTACATCGAGAATTGCATCACCCTTAAGCCTCTCCCCCTTCGCAGCCTCAAATATGGCGCGGTGAGAAGAAAAAAGTCGAAAGGTACAAGAATAGAAGAAGGCTGAATTGAGATAGCGAATAAAATAAAACAAAAAAAAGAAAGGAGAAGGTAAGGGCAGTTCGAATTACCAGCTGTTTCCGTAAAGATGTCATTCCTACTTTTTGCTAGGATAATCGAGTTATATTCCGAAGCTTCTTGGATATATCCTCTTTTTACCGTGCAACCTGATTATCGTTTCTTTGATGATGGTCGTATCAATGAAACTTTTCTTATTCTTTTGTAAAAATTTTTTTTATTATTATTATTTATTTAATAATATTAGCTGTTCTTAATAATTAAAGAAAAACGAAAAAAGGGGGAATTATATATATAAATTTAATATAATGTAATATATAAAAATATATATTTATATTTGAAGATATATTATATATAATTTGATAAAGTAAAATAGGATAAAATCGTAAGTGTCTATAGTAATAATCGTCGTATTTTGCACTACTTTTTACGTCTCTCTATTCGTGTCGTACTTTTTAACGGAACATTACACAAAACATACTCTTTTTAATCTTTCAAACAATAATCTTTAATAATAATCCTCTTCTCGTCTTTTCGTTAGATGTATGTATGTATGTTACCGGAAAAGTGGAAAATGCTCACAATGCATGGCATTTTTAGGCAACGAAGGAAACAGAAGAATTGTTATCTTATTTGGCCACAGACACACACACACACACAACATAATATAGTATAGCGCATAGTATATAGCAGCACGCACAGTCTCAAAAACCCGCTCCATGCTTGCTTTTATGGGTGTGTGAGAGCGGGGTGTGTGTGTGTGCTGTTGCCCAATAAGTCCGTAACAATTCTTTTGTTTCCTATGTTGCCTAAAAATGCCTGGCATTGTGGGAAATCCCTAGGAAAAGCTCACAATACGCCATAAGCACGCACGCATACATACATGCAATTCTATCATGCCTTCATACTCAACCATCACAATACGACAAAAGAAAGAACAACATTTCCCGTAGCTTTACTTTTAAGGAAATCGTTTGTAGCTATTCTAGAAATATCTATATGCAAACTTCCAATAGTATCGTTCTTCGTTATTTATGTTTAAGTTTCTTCTGTTAACATAAGACAGGAAAAACTGCTTCCTATTCACTCCTGA